TCATACCCCGTACCAACAAAGGACTCCATCTACAGTCAAGTCTGTCCCAACATTGTGGTGTAACACTACCTAGTGTGTTAGTGCTGTGTCTCTGCTGTCTCTTCCAACATGGTTCAGAGATCTGCCCCTCTCCAGTGCTGAAGCTTCACGCTCAGTTTGGTGTCTCTAGCTGCACTAAACATTCAGTCTCACGCCAGTGTGGATCAGTCATCAGGCTGATGGGTTGAGGCAGACAGGTTCCCATTAAAAACAGAGCTGCTCACTTTTTGCGATGTTTGCTCTCCCCTGCTGGGACCTGTTACTCGTACTGGTCTGACATCCCAAGGGGCTCTCTGAGGGGCTTTATAAGGCCCTGTTCACACCTGGCATTAACATTCGTCTCTGTTTGTGTCTCGGCTCAACTTATTTTAAGCTTGTAAATCACTTGTGTGTGCAGAATCTGCTAAAAATTCAAAGTAGGAGAAGAAATCAAAAGCTATGTGCGCATTTCAGGGTAACCAGACCGGCTAAAATATTTGAATTGAACACCATAATACTCAAAATGATTATTTTTTTTTTATATATATATATATATATATATATATATGATTCCATAAGGGCGGCATGGTGGTGCAGTGGTTAGCACTGTTGCCTCACGGCAAGAAGGTCCTGGGTTCGGTCCGGGTCACCCAAGGGTGCCTTTCTGTGTGGAGTTTGCATGTTCTGCCCGTGCATGTGTGGGTTTCCTCCAGGTGCTCAAGTTTCCTCCCACAGTCCAAAGACATGCAGCTTAGGTCAACTGGCTACTCTAAATTGCCCATAGGTGTGACTGCGAGTGTGTGTGGCTCTTGTCTGTGTTGTCTGTGGTGGACTGGCGACCTGCCCAGGGTGTACCCCGCCTCTCGCACGAAGATGCTGGGATTGGCTCCAGCTTCCCCGCGACCCAGATGGATTAAGCAGTATAGATAATGGATGGGTTATCACGATATTTTTTCCTGTATTGACCGATATCGATAATTATCAATATTATAGTTTCACAATGCTGTTCCATGTAATAATGTAATAATCAAAATAATAATAAAAATAACCCTATTCTGGAATGAATAATGAATACATGGAAATAAACAATATTAGTAAACAAATACAGTGGTACCTCGGTTCTTGAACTCACTAGAACTCGAATTTCTTGAAAGTCGAACAAACCAGTTTGACCTAGAACTCGATCTGAATATCAGAAGTCGAACCGTGTACACTGATCTAATATAAATTGTACGTGCCAGGAAATGAGTCATACTACAATGCAATTCTTACTTGAATGCCTTCTTCACAGACTGGACGATTAATCAAATAAAGCAGCGCAACATTACAGTAACTAACAATAAATAAACCACTAACTTACGTGTACTATTAGAGCATTTATGTCATTTATTTAAACTTTATTTTACCAGGTAAATTAACTGAAAACCAGTTCTCACTGCTTTACGTGATATTCGGGAGAACAAGGAGCCTGGGATACAAACGTCATGCGTGTGACTAAAATCTTCAGCCAATAAGGGCAAAGTTGTGTCGTCACGGAGGCGGTTCCAGTTTGTGCTGCACAGTCTGTCTCAAGTCGTCTTGCTCTCGCGAGGATTTTGTACCATTTTGTACCATGTGATCTGTTGCCCCACAGCTGGGGTACTTAGAGTAGGGTAGGGGGTGGGGTATCTGCTGCAAGACAGGGAAATATATGCACCAAAAGCAATAGTTGTTCTATGCTATAATCCACAAACACACACACCTTCAATGATGCTTTCTGCCTGAGCGGCTGTGTACACTCTGTCCCCCAGGCTTCCTGTCACAGATCGTCCAAGAGCGCCCCCTGGAGGACTGCATCCGAGCAGGGCACTATGCAGCCAACGTAGTAATCCGCCGGGCTGGCTGCACCGTCCCGGAGAAGCCAGACTTCCACTGACACCCAGGAGCCTCTCTACCGAAGATGCCCTTCTCAGTGACTGACGGCCATGCTGCTCTGCCCCCATTTTTTAAAACCACTCCCCTGCCCCCACAGCCAGGACCTCAGCCTCCAAGACAGCATCCCAGCATATTTCCTGTTTACCAAGATCACATGACTACTTAAGATTTTAAGTGATTTTTTTGGCTGATTTACCCAAAGGAGTGTGCCTGTGCCTATCTATCTGAGTGTCTGTACCTGTGTGAGTGCCTGTCTGTTGGTGTGTACTGCTCTTGTGTCAGTATACCAAACAATTCTTGAAAGCACAGTTCAGACCTATGGTGGACATGACAAGTTGCCTGCTGGACCTTTACACAGAGAAAACTGAGAAAGTGGAAATAAACTGATTGAAATGGACTATGAGACATGCTGGGTCATTTACTTTCCTTTTTGAGCCTCTCTTTCTTCCACAGAGGTGTTGTGAGAGCAGTCTGGCTGCTCAGCCAGAATGGGTGGCTGGTGGTTCTATCCTGCTCTCCACTAGGCTCAGGGAGGTCCTGCTCCTATTCTCTCCACCCGCAGGTGGGTCATCCTGCATTCAGCCAGGGGATTAGCAGCTGATCTGCTCCTTATGGTGATCAATATGCAGGCTTGATGGTGCCTCTGGCCCTCCCAGACTCGCCCCTATTGGGCCCACTGGTCACAGCAATCTTCTCAAATGGCACACTGGCTCAGGAGCTTTGGAGAGTTCAGGGGATGAAATGGACCCTGTATGGTTATGCATTGTCACAATGTATAGATTCACAATAGTGTGAAGAAAAAAACACCTGTGAAACAACTTGAAAATAACTTCACTTTGAAGGTAGCATCTTTTTTGTCTGAATCAGTCCATTTAAACAGCTAGGAGAGATGCTGTTGTTTTATTTTTCTGAAAGAATTTCACTGATGACGTGATTAGTTCCTTGGTCAGCTCTTCTACCCGCAGTGACACGCCCTGGTGTTACTTCTGCCTGGTTTCTCCTCAAGGCCTGAACAGCTGGCTTTCAAGTTAACGTGATGCTTGATAGCTGCTGTGTCAGGCCTGCAGTCGTGTAGGGTACAGTGTCTTTTGTCTTTGCATCAATGCAATGCACATAGATATTAAGCCTCCAGATTTTCTTTTTTCCTTGGTACGAAGTGTAATTAAACACTCCAAGGCATCTGTCCGCTTCAGGCTCCAGGTGACAGATGGCTGAGGCCAGAGCACCGTGACTGTGTTTGTGTAATGATACTGTTTACAGTAATTTTGGAAGTGGCAGCCACCCACCCTGGGCACAAATTTGTCTGGAGAATGATGTGCTCTGCCTCTTTTATTTAAATGCAGAGAGGCTGCCCCCTAAGTAGGCTGTTTCTCTATTTTTTCATCTAGTTTGTCTCTCACACAATTTCCAAAACTGTGGCATTGGTGAAATTAATATGAAAACACCCAAAACAGCTTAGCTTGGCAGGTGCATTGTTTGTCTTGAAACTGCCAGTATAAAGTGAAGAATCCTTAGTGTAATTGTGGCCACGTTCCTCATTTTGTAATGAGTTTTTAGTCATAGGTCTTGATGACAGTTTGCCCTGGCTCTGACGTGACTTCTTGGATGTTGTGTGCAAGCATCTATCAAGGCGTGTTAAGACACATCCAGTGCCCTGAGTGGAATTATTTTGAAGTCCTTTTGAGCGTCTCTCGCTCTCATTTAATATTATCACCGCTAATTTCGTGTTAAATTTCTTGATTTTAAAAGCAAACGTCCCATCTAAAGCAACACTGAAAACAATGTAGAACAAAAGCTTTAAACCGGCAGCCATCTGCCAATGGGCTCGCCATAATCATAATAATCCCTTATGAAAAATACTGGTAACAAACTGGTGACAAAGCTATGATATTATACGATGTGCGTAAGGGGGCGGATGGAGATCAAATTCTGTCCTCGACTATTACACAAATCAATGAGGGCTTTTAATTACTATAAGGTGGGGCTGTAGGCTATTCCAAGGAAGTGGCTATTAATTCAATTTTCCATTGACTGCTTATGTTGGATCGCTGCTGTAGGAATTATTTTTAACTTAACGCAGGTTACAGCGTGGAAGATCACGGCGAATTTATGGGTAAATAAGTCAGCCGTATGGACACTTGAAACAGCCCATTTCAAGGAAATGATTGTCTACATGTCCGAATACAACATAAAATGGCACCACGAAAGGTGGATGTTAACGAAATACTTGAACAGTACAACCTGCTGCTATTTATCAAAAGCTATAAACGTCTCGCTGCAAGTGTAAACAAATGTGTAACTACACGGAAAACAGCTTTGTTATTCACCGTAAACGCAGTTCCTCAAATTAAAATGTTCGGTACATGCGCCATCGCATTTGCCAAAACCTGCTGTCACTTCAGTTGAATTGGGCTTACTGTAACACAAATAATGCTATTTACTGATTAAATGAATGGCATTCACACTGTCAAAATTGCTCCTCGTCCTGTTAATTTGCATCGGGTTTTAAAAATGTCAACGGTGAAAAGTAATTTATTCAATTCTGTAAGAAATTGCTGCGTATTGATAACAACGTTCAGTATTCCCCTACAGCCTGGTGATCTTTCTCTCTGTTTGGCAACTGCTGGTTCACTGTGAGGTGCTGTAGAGCGCACAAGCCATCGGCGTTCATCCTTCTCTCAAACTTGCAGGGATGCCAGGTCCGCGGTTTGGCCACTCAATTGGGCTGTTTTGAAAATAGAGTTGCGGGTAAATATTAGGAGGTTGCGGGTTTGGGCTGCTTTCATAATGTTCCGCGTCGGTGTACCATAAGGGGAAAAATAAACTAATTGTTATGAATCCAGGTGGCTCCTAATCCAGAATCGCTAGCCACTGAAAGTAAGAGAAACGCAAAGGAAAACATGGTCGTCAAATCTCACGCATCTTGCGTGACACTCACTCAAGCAGTCTAACGGCAAATATATATCATTCCATTTTAAAAGCATTCTAAAATTACCTACATCCGAAGCGTTGGTGTAGTTTGCAAACTTAACAGACTATTTACAAGGTAATAAAACTGTCACATACTTGTAACTGCATGTGCATATGTGTGCAGACTTATCTCGTATCGAAAATCTCACTCCAGGCAGCTGACCGAAGTTGGCAAGCCTGGAAAATGACAGTGCATCCGTCTATGTGACGTGTTTGTGCTTAACTGTGGTTTTAAAATGCTATGAATGTGATCAGCATGCAAAATACCGGTTTATGTCTTTGAGATACAATTAATATACTGTTTTTTAAGTATTGGGCTAGTTTCACCTTCCGTTGGGCAGATGTTAAGCAGACCTTGGGCATGAATTTTTTGCTGGACTTCGCAATACTCGGTACAGCGGAGAAAGGGGCAGGCGTCTCTCACAGAACGCCGCGTGAATTAGCATTTCAATCATCGATGACAGTCGGCGCTTTCGAATTAAGAAAGCACAGGCGATCCTTCCCACATTTGTTACTCGTCGTCTCCATCACTTCGCTCATCAAGGAGAAAGAAAAAAAACTTGAGAAGGTAACACCAGAATACGTGGTTCGTGTGTGTCTTCGTTGCCTTTTAGCGGCACTCACGGCGGCGAGCACTTATAGTCCATCGTACTCAAAGTGTTCGTAGCAAATGAAATGTCCGAGATTTAAACGCGTTATTTCAGGTCGAGAAGGGAAGGGACTCGTCAGGATAGCGTTCGGGACAGAATTAGGTTCACGATACATCTTGCACTATTGCAATACAGCTCCCGCAGGTGTCTGCTCAAGTAAAAGTTTGCAAACAATTATGTGAAATAGCGATCGTTTAATCCTAAAGCCTCATTACGCCGACTTTCTCGAATGTCCTACTTCCTTGATATAATTGTGCGAGGATTTTAGCTATAGGGTTGATGCAGTTATGTATGACAGTTATACCCGCCTTGTTTTTGATTTAAAACTACGGTATCAGCGGAAAAAACATATGCGCATATCTATAGATATATAGATATATAGAGTTGTTCCGAATTAAATTGGATGAAAATATTGAGGTTCGTCGACACAAATTAGTTGTTGAATTCCTGGAGGGTCATTAAGGCAGATAAACTGCATAAATCCTGCGCTTTTAGTATTCGCCGTATTTTAATATTGTTTGTGTAGACAGCTAGTGCGTACAGTAAATGCTACCCATCAAACTCCACGTGTAGTCTGTGGGAACGTAATTTTTGACTACTTGTTCTTGCATTACTTATGTGTGGTGTGATATATGGGTATAAACATATTTTGTTACCACTGCCGTTTTTGAGGGGCATTTTTATGTATATATTTCAAATATAGTAGCACCATCTCTTGTTTAGATGATCTGATTTATGCATTTTAGTTTGCTATCTGTTTAAATTAATTACAACATAAAACCTAAAAAAACTCAAAGAAATGTAACCCAATTACACAGAATGTTTCGTAATCAATAATTTAAGCGGCTATATTTGTACACGCGCAGCTTTAGGGCGACACGTGGGCGTCCATAGTTCACGAGACGGAGTTCTGTCACGTCTCCACTAATTTCTCACCTTTAAAGCCGGGAGCTTGCGGTATTATTGCCAGTTCCCAAACCAACAAATTTCGTACAGGAGCCGTGCTTACTGGTCGAGACTGACGCACTTTTTGTCAAATCGAAAATCGAAGGCTCCCATCAATGGTAAATCTTGCAATATGCAAGCGGGTTTGGCTCGAAAGTACGGTAGTGGGGCACCAATGCACTGTAATCAATGTCATGTCGTATTAGTGTAAACTGTGACAAAATGGCGCCTGTTTCGGTGACGCGAGTAGTCCGTAACCACAGGGCAGCCAAAGGATGTCCTTTGTTTTTCGCATGCTGTTCTCATGAATTAAATCTGCCGTTTCACTGTTTTTCGGTACACGTTTGACTGAAGCGGTCGTGCGATGCTCAAATCTTTGCGTGAACCTGGGGGCGACGTGCCAGCCAGCCGTGTACGACTGGTTAACCTTAAACATTATCTTTCGGACGGCTTCAAGATTATAAGTAGAGTTTACGCGCTGATCATGCATGTATTTCGGCATTTACTGCTTTTATTTTCCCTCTGTATGATTATACATAGTCTTTAGATGTGGATATAAATACGAAGTTGAGGGTTTACAGTTCTGTGGACTGTGCATGCCCATCCTGCAGCTCTGCACTCACCCCTGTGCTAGTGCAGCGTGCACCTCTTGACCTCCATGTGGGACAGTCGGGCTTTTGTGCTGTGGTCGGAGAGCTACCCAAGGAGCTGTAGCATGCGTGGCACCTGCTGGTTACAACGTGCAGTGTCACTTAATGGTACCCTTCCATCAGTTTGCGCCATTTTTTTTCACACGCAGGGTTAAACGTTATACCGTACTTATTTTAAGATACAGTAGTGCGTGAGCCCACAGCTATTGAACTAAAACCACTGAAAACTGAAGTTATGAGAGTGAACAGGAGACTGACTTACTGATGTCTGATGCATACCTTTTAGACAGTTATGTGAATATTGCTTAAATCCATAGCCTCCTTTAGCCTTTAAAATTTATGGGATTATGTGTCTTTACTTAAGTCCCAGGTGGTTGACATGAATTGCTTCAGTGTATGTAGAAAGGCTACCCCTCCACTTTAATACACTTATAATAAAGTTATGTTTTGGTGATTATTGTGACAGTCCTGACTGGGTTGCTGTTGTGCAGTTCCATCCTGTTAGAGCACTGGGATGGTAACAGTCTAGTAGCAGGTCTTCGAGCTATGTTGACTTAGAGGTTTTTTATTGCTAGTTTTAGAGGAACATGCATACCTGTGATCTTGTTAGGGATTCAGAAACCCAGATGAAATGGGCCAGGAAAGCCTTCCTGCAGCCCTAGCACTTAAGGCCAAGATTGACACATCAGACTGGTTCAGGTATCTAGTTTTTTAACGAGTACTGGCTGATGCCAGTATGTTAACCAACATATTGTGCAACTTTAAAATGAACTTGTTTGTTCAGTCTGGTAACATTAATTTTTGTCTTACACATTGCAGGTCTCTGCTGGATTTGTTCAGTTTCTATTCTACTAGCTCTGATTTGGTGGCAGTGCCACCTGGAGCGAATCTCACCCCAATCTAACCTGTTTCTGATATTTGCTCAGACCTCGGATTCCCACAGATGTAATTCCCTGGGTGGCTCACCACTGACGCTTAAGTGTGCTTGGCCACTCTGTTTGACAGGGTGAGGGATGTCCCCGCCATGACTGGTTAATCTGTCATGGTGAAGCCGGCCAATTCGCTGCACACGGGGTGGATTCTTGAAGCCATTCAGAAGATCAGAAGGTAGAAGCAGAGGCCATCAGAAGAGCAGATCTGCCACACCGTGTCGGCTTGTTGTGGACTCGACAGGTGCTCAGTCCTAGAGTAGCTGGCGCAGAGTGTCTGTGATGGTGCTGTGCTCAAGGTCACCAATGAAGGATGCAATTCATACAAAGACCTTGATAATCTGGGGCAGAATAAATCTCTTCAACCTGGGGAAATATCTGCTTCACCAACAAGATCTGTGCAGATGTCAAGCAAACTGCAGCAGCTTTACTGGAATAGTATTCTGAAAAGGGCAATTGAAGCCCTTGCTGATCCACAGGGGTCCACTCTGAGAAGCATCAAGTGAAGTGCGAGGACCTTTCCAGCCTTCAGTAACCCAATGTTCCAGCGCGAGCTGTGGCCATCAAGCGGGCAGTCAACAGTGGGAGGCTGGTTAAAACAGGCCGGATGTACAGGGTGAACTGCAGTAGGGATGGGGTGTTCCCTGGAGAGACCAGTGCCACTACAGCACCTCCATACCTTTCACAGGTGATGTTATTCACATGAGAAGGACCAGGTACGCTGGCTGTTCCCCAGCCTGCTGGGGTCTTGGCTGTCCTGCATTAAAGGGTATTTCTGCTTGCCTATTGGGGGCATCTTAATGTCTGCAGGGATAATTTTGTGGTGTCTGGTACCTTACATACATGGTGAAATGCACATGGTTTAAAATTCAGCCTAAGTTCTCAGGACTTTTGTCAGCTGGGCTCTTTCCTGATTGGCCATTAATGTTACATTTGGTTGCATCTATTTCTGCAAATCAGTGCCATAGCACATTTTTTTAGCTGACTTCTTCTTGTAGGTGAATTTAGGAAATGAGCTGTACTGTGAAGAGAGACTAGTTACAGCTTTGTTTTTCTACTGTAGAAGGATGGCTTGTAAAGGCATTGCTGGGTTTGGAGAGCAACAGTGACATAAAACTGAAGAGACGCTTATTTACTGTTTGCATCATGCATCATGATTTAACCTGTGTGAAGTTGGTCTCTCATTTGTTTCCGTTTTTGACCAAATTGGTCTCAGTCATTTGTGCCATTGAAATTTTCATTTGTGCTGTTATACTTTCTGAGTTAAGTTGGCCTGCCGTTTTCGTCCAATTTCGACCAAACAGATTGGAATCATGCCGGTTTGTGCCATTCAAATTGTTGTTTTTGTTGCTTTAGTTTCTGAGATATAAATGTTTCTTTGCACATGACAGCAGTGACCCCCCCATTTGCACCTGATGTTGACCAAACTGGTCGCAATTGTTTTCTGAGTTAACCAAGAAGGTATAACTCCATTACATTATAGTGCTCAACAATAACAGAAGATGGAATGTTTGATGCCTTTGCGACAAAGCTGTCCTCGCTTTAGGATTATGTATTCTTTCCCACAGTTCCTATTGGTGTCCTGATATGTAAGATGGCTCTACATTTGTTTTTAGAAAGTGTAAGATTAAATGTAGTAGTATTTTCCATCAGTGATGTTCAGATTTCGGATTTTTTTGTCACCGAAAGTCGACAGTCATTAATGGACTATTAACTGATTTAAAAAAATGTATTTAGAATGGATGTGTGGCCATCACCAAATACTAAAATTCCAATACAAAATATGCTTTAGAAATTATAAGTGCTTTATTTTTTTCTTGTGCAAACACTTTGTGACTTATGTTAATAATCAACAAGCTGACAGACTTTGCATTGAACAAAACAGATTTACGAAATCAACCAAACATTTAATCCTCCAGCATCAAACTTAATTCAAATAAATTGAAAGTAACCTGCATACTTTATAGCACATAGCATGGAGAGTGCTGTAACAAAAACCAGCTTCGCTATCAGTTATGTATTATGTTTAATTGTACTGTATTGCAGTTGTATTACTGTTATTTTTCAACACTGCGCAACATAGCTTACATATAACCTTGTTGTGCTTTCGGTTGAAATGATCTCAAACGGTACATCTTTTGGCTGTTTCATTTTTTTCTCAGACTGCAATTATGGCTGTAGCCTGTAGGCATCTGTAGTTGGTTGCTTGTGTTGACACACTCATGAGTTGATAGGTTATATATCGAAACATACATTTCTTTTTCCCTCTACATTCTTTGCATTTTCCACACTGCAAACTTAACATTTTTACCAAAGTGAAATGTATTATGATAGTATTAATCAGTTAAAATTCTTATCAGTTATCGGTTAAACAGTGAATTATGAATGCATGCTCATCCCTCCGCCTCCAAGGAGAAAAGAAGAAGCCGGTGACACATGGCGAAATCCTGACCCATTCATTTTTTTACTGACATTTTTTACTGTTCATGCTGTGTCAGCTGAAAGAATTAAATACAGTGGTGTGGCAAGAGGAGAAAGGACAGGAGGCAGTTTCTTGGCCTGTGTAGGAAGGCAAACTATTTATTATTCCAAAAAAAGAAAAGAAAAATGATATCTGGTTGCCACCAAGACACTCGCAGCCTGCCCAAAAGTCTGGGCGGAAGAAAAGTGAACCTTCAAAATAAAAAGCACTGAGAATTCTGACACAACTAAGAGCCTGCAACACAGGCCTCCCCAGAATTCACAGAGGCAGGGGTCACCACTTCTTAGGGGGTCTGATCACCCATCCTGATTTGCTCACGGTATCATCCACAGGAGCAGGCACAACTGGCGCCGGTCCTAGGACCAGACAGCACAGTTGACCCCTACAAGGAGGCTGGTCCAGTGGCACCGGTGAATCCAAAGCAAAATGGGTTGACTTCCATCGGTCCACAGAAACAGCTTTTACCAGAAGTTAGGTGGTGCTCCACACCATGTTTATCTGAGGATGCAGAAAAGGTGGGAATGGTGAGATTGGGAAAACATCGGCTGAAGCAGAAATACCAGACAGGTCGGAAGGGCCAACCCTACTGAGGGTGCACAGAAAAGAGCAAGAAGTCACTCTGTTTATCAGGTGCCTGCTCTTAACATCCACCAGCAAGTTGTTGGCACAAAAAAGCCAGCCCCCAACAATGGAGTGGAAACAGACACCAACACAAAAACCCACCAGAAATGCTGCCCATGGAGGTCTACCTGCTACTCGCCAAAAGTCTCAATCGAACTTCCATGACCAGCCTCTAGGGGGAAACCACACTCTCCCGACTGCTTATCCAGCTGTGATGCAAGGACAATGCTTACCAAAGTGCCCAAGTCCTCAATAAATAGCAAACTGCTTAGCCCCACAGCGGCTAGTGCTGCTACAGCTCGCCAGTCCTGAAGTTTCCCGGTGGCTTGATGGAACAGGGCGGGATGCATTTCTTGGTGTGCACCTTGAAATGGGCATGATAAAAACAGGAACCAGTTAGAGTCTTAGACTCACTTAGAGTCACGCTAAGCCGCAGCAACAACACCAGGGGCAATTGTGCTGGACAGCAGTAGCCCTGCTGGCACAGGGCTGCTGACTGACTTGTCCTCTTCTCTTTCAAACTTGCGGAAATCTGTAAGTGGGGCGCAAACAGGAGTTGGCATCCGCTGCATAAATAGCTCACAAAAAAATAAAACAACTAATCTCTGCCTAGTAAAGACAGCATGTGGTCCGTGAGCTCCGATGGTCTCTGGTCTCCCAAGGAGGGTAAGGCGAGAAGCCGACATGCCTGCTCCGGCTCTGACCGTTCAAAAGTTGCTAGCAGCAGTGACTTAAAAGCCTCGTACTTGCTGTCCACTGGGGGAACCTGGAGAAAACTCACCACCTGTGATGCTGTGGCCAGTGCAACAGAGTAGTATTTTGTGGTGTTCTGCATGATGGCACTGATAGCCAACTGAATTTCAGCCTACACTAACCACATAGTGGCATTATCATGCCAGAACTCTGGCAACTTTAAAGCAATGGCATTAGCTGTAATGCTGAGAGAAATCTCCTCACAAACATATGAAGAGACGTTGGGGTCACCAATGTGGCAAGAGGAGAAAGGACAGGAGGCAGTTTCTTAGCCCGTGAAGGAGAGCAAACTTTATTATTCCACAAAAAGGAGAGAAAAAAAAAACAGCTGCCGCCAAGACACTCGCAGCCTGCCCAAAACACTGGCAGGAAGAAAAGCAAACCTTAAAAATTAAATTTAATTCTCTGTCCTGAGAATTCTGATGAAACTAAGAATGCGCTACTGTGGAAACTGCTTATAGTAATTCTTGGTGAAACTGATCAGTATAAGTGGGTGATCATTATAACTATTTTTTTTCTTTTCTTTTTCTTTGTCTCAGGCAGATTTCCATCTAATTGACATTTGTATATTTATTACATCAATACAAGAATAATAGAACAGACAGCGTTGCTATTTACTGAATTTTATTGACTTTCAAAATACAGTACAGCTGTTTAAAATGCTTTTCAAATTACAACTGTATCAGACCCACAGCAAATTGAACTGTATAACTTAAATACGTTATAATATAGTACTGTATATAAAATATAGCTTATTGTGGTTTCACTGTTGCATCTCGTTGGCTCGTTTTTGGCAGTTTATCATAAGTTTTGATAAGTCCTATATTTTTCATTGAGAGAAAATGACTTTGTTATTCACATTTTCTGTGCACGCAGCAGGTAACTAGCCAGAAGCAGGTGGGTTACTGCAAGGCAAAGTAGGACTATCAAAGTAAAGTAAAAAAAAATAAATAATAATAATTACCGTATTATAATTTTACCATACACAGTAAAATCACCAGTGTTAAATCAACTCTGTAAGTGTTAAAATTAACACAGTTTCAGTGTTTATATAACTCTCTGGCCATTGTTAATTTAACTCTCATTCCAATGTAAGGAATGTAACTCTATCTCAGTGTTGTTCAGTCTACTCACTTAGTGTTAAAGAAGAAACTCTTGAGAGTGTTGTTTTAACTCTTACTAAAGGTGAAACAGGAGAGTAAATAAGTAACAGGAGAGTAAATAAGTAACTCAAATTAGTGTTGTTTTAACACCATACAAGTGTGATTCTTATCTACAAAGAGTGAATAAAAAACCCTGCCTAAGGCAGATTTAACTCGTTCATTTTAACTCTTCATACATATGAAGAGTGAAAGCAAACTCTGAACAGTATTAACATCAGGCCTGCATCCATCGGAATGAAAATGTTAAAAGTCTAATAAGTTGACATTTTAGTAACATTTCTGGACAAAATAAATTCAGTAAAATTTTTCTTATCTTGTTGTAAGGGTTCAAAATGTTAAATCTACACATATTTTACTTTTTTTACTGAGCAAAAAAAAAAAATCTGGGCTTTTTAAACAAGCCTCACCTCAGAATCATTATGAAACTGTCCTCAGAATGTGAACAATACAAACATTTTGCATTTGACTAAATACAACTTAACTTACTGCTTGTAATTACACACAGACATGAATCCAGTATAAAAGTCTATATCAAACAATGGAGAAGCACCACATATATGCTGTCATCTGGTCCATATGAACACTGAAGATCAAACGGTCTATAAAAACGCAAACTCTGCAACTCAATGACAGCATCTTTTTCTTCTCCATCACATAGAGTAATGGCATGGTAGTGCTCATTGAAAGAAAGTGTTAC